TCTGTCTAAGGGATTCATTAACACTGCTCCCGGCTAGTCTTAATAACTTAGCCATAAATTCAAGGGCTGACCTTCCTGCTTGATTTCTCGATCCAATCTCGCACTTGGTCTGATCGCACCATAGATCAAGTTGTAACCGAAGTAGACCTATTGTCACTTCAGCCAACACACAAGATGAGACTTTACTACCGTGGAGCGGCATTTTGCAAAAAGATGAGGGGCATAACCCACTTATGGAAGGGCCTGCCAGTTTAAGATGTTTTCTTATTTATAGCTAAGTAGGTTGGCGTTTCGAGGACCAGGAAACCAACCCAAGAAAAACACAAAAACCCGAAGTGGAACGACAAAGTCCTCCAGCTTTTCACACTTTTGGTCAAATCCTGGATTTTCAAATTGAGAGAGATTAAAAATTCTAGTAAAGACAAGAAGAAATCCAGTCTAGCCGCAATAAACTACATGAAAGCAAGCAGAGGAAGCGGGGCCTTTTCTAGCCTCTCCTTCTTGCTTGCTTACTTAGCTCTTGGATAGAACCTCCGGATTCTAGGGATATTTTAAAAAAGGTGCTAGTGCAAATCTAAGACATGGATAATGCGTGATTTTAATGTGCAAAGACGTTAATTATGTGTAGGGTGAGTTAGAAAATTAGCTACCATATTTGCCTATTTGAAATAATGATAAATAAAAGCGTAGATTGTGAAAATAACTTAGATACCTCTCTCCCAATAATGTCGAATAAATTGTAACATGTAGCATAAGATATGAAATTATTAATTGTAATTGCTTTTCTTTTACTATGATCGATGAAAGAGAAAATTGTGAACGAAAAATAGATATCGCTCTCACTAGCAAGTATCAGGATGTAAATCTCGTAGAATGACACAATCTCAATTACGGACAATCTCAATCAGGATGCACCAACTATATGGCTGCTTGCCAGTGGGCTGCTGAGAAGCAATGGGAGGACATCTCCATCTTCTCTGATTGCGAAAGAGCTATTTTGGGAATAACTGATTCTCAGGTTAAACCGGATGACATGTATCTCCATTATATGACATGCAGGGAGTTGATCCAAGGGCTGCGAAAGGGAAAGCTCCAGCATGTAAGGAGGAAGGCTCTGGAGCTAGCAGATACTCTGGCAAGGACAACTTTCAAGGTTCTTCCGCATCAGTCAATTGGTTTGGAAACTAAGGAGGATGTTTTGAATCATTTTGTAAATCTAAACTATGTAGCTTCTAATAACTCTTGGTCTTTTGGCACTAACTTTAGATAGCAGGTTGTAGCTGATCTATCTTTTGACCCCCATTAGTCATGGGTAGGATTATGATTTGGTCTGTTTTTCAGGCCTGGTTTGTAAAACTTTCTAATTTATGGTTTTAATTCAGTTCCTCTTAAAAAAAAAAAAAAAAAACTATGATTACTGATGAAAAATCTGATCCAAATGGATGAAGAGGACATTAAGTAACGTATGAGTCTAGTAATGGATGAGGGTTGGATACTGGTTTGTAAAATCTTGATTTATCTCTTCATCAATACTGATAGAGTATAAAACATATTCCTGGGCCTCAACCAAAAGCTTAAGCTAATGGTTGAGGCCCAGGAATATGTTATATACTCTATCACTCCCCCTCACATGAAAGGCCCTTTGGGCTTGAAATGTGGATGCAGCACAGACTCTCTCATACCCAGCGCAAATTAATTCCACTTTAAAGGAGGGGCGGATGAGATTCGAACCCGTGACCTCTATGTCATGTTGGCTCTGATACCATGTTAAAGGACCAACTCAACCAAAAGCTTAAGCTTATAGTTGAGGCCCAGGAATATGTTTTATACTCTATCAAATACCTACCCCAAAACAGCGATCACTCCTTATTGGCAGTACTCCTCATCTATATGAAACTTTTAAGTAAAGTACATCAACATGCCGACGAACAAATCAAGCAATTTGGCCTTAAAATTCTCCCATAATACTATCTTATGTAATTTAATTTAGGTAGGTTTTTTTTTTCTATTTTATTCTCCTAGTTTATCTTTAATAATCTAATAATTCCCAGTTATTTTCGAGTTTCTAATTTTATCTAGATCACTAGATATATTTATCTAATTATTTAAATAGAGCTAAGAAGCATATATAGTCTACTGTTTCTATCCATGAACTCCCACTATTCTTCGGAAGATTTTCAATTAAAAATACTTTATTTTACTATCTTATTCAACAATTTTAGTAAATTTTGAATGCATTATAACATGGCTACTTGTTAATTTTGTAGTTGTGTAGACTGCAATTAAGTTACAATTATGGATTTTATGTAAAATGTACAATAGTACATATGTATTTGCTGCTAGCAAAGAATATTAAAAAGCAGTTTGCTTCTAAGGTTGAATGCAATCATCTCACGTAATCAAATTATGTATTTTTCTGCCTTGGAGGGGTTGTGAAAACAATTACATAGTTCCCTCTGAAACCAGCATTCAATAAAAACCAAATAAGGCTCCAAATGATAGTTTGCTCTAAAAATTGACCACTTGAAAAGGCCTATGTCAGGAATGAGTGACCATTTATTAAGTTTTGTCTAGCCATAATTAGGTTTATAAGCCTGAGATATTGATGATGAGGTGCATTTCTTCTACTTCCTTCCTGTTGGATTGATTCAAAGTAGTTGCTATAATTTAGGATAGGAACATGTTTTGTTAGTTTGAGTAGTTTGTTGAATATGTGGAGTTAAGTGGAGTTAGTGGGTTAATTAGCTGTGCTTTATTAAAGTTAGACGTGGGAATATGGGTCATGCTATTCCTTAATTTGTTATGCCTATATAAGGGCTTTTATTGTACTTAGTTTTAATTGAATTGATGAATACAAGTTAGTTTTGTAATTCTTTCCCTTCTCCCTTTATAGTTTCTACACTTCCAAGTCATGGCTAGTGATAAAACTTCAAGACAATTAAATGCATGCTTTTACAGGCTTAAGACAATGCAAAGGGATTTAATATTTCTTATATCTTCATCTTCTGTATGGAATATCTGTCCCATGGCACATTGCCACTTAGGAGGGAAACTAGAAACCCTTTTCTTTTAGAAGTGGAGTCGGGGCACTACAGTGTCCCACCTCCAATAGAGTCTAGACATAAATAGTAATATGATATCGATGAAATAAAAAAAATTTGAAGAGTAATGGATATTGTTGTTACTAGTTTGAGGAGGTAAATAACGCTACTCTCAACATATTAGGAGGAGATATTAGTCAGGACTAATATTTGTTTTTTTTTTTAGGGAAGTCAGGACTAATATATGGGTTAGTTAGATCTGTGAAATAGTTAACCATTTATTTCGAAGAAAAAATAAATAATTTAGAAGACATGATATATGCCAACATGTTAGGGTATGAGCACGCAGCGGAAATATAAAATAGAACGAGAAATTAAAGGTAAAATGTAAGATAAGCAATAAAAAGAGACACGATATTTAACGTGGGAAAAACCCTCTAAATAGAGGTAAAAAAAAAACCACGATGACGAGCACAAAAAAATTCCGCTATAATAAAATGAGAGTACAAAGTTACCTCAATAAAAGGGTATTGAGATACAACTCTTACAATTAAAACTCTCAAAATAAAAGAAAAGAGAATAGTGGAATAAATTATAAGCAAGAGATTAACTAGGGAGACTAGTGTAAATGGATGAGTAATTTTGTGGGTGAGTAAATTTGTATGGAGGTTGAATGTATATTGGTTGGATGCCTCAATATGAGCCAAACTCCAACTATTTATAGTTGGTTAGGTCGGTGGAAATGGATGCCTCAAGATGTATGAAGAATTCTCTGGATTTCCTTGCATGATAATATTGCTTCTAGAAAGTTGACCATTTTTCTAGAATAATCAACATAATTGTAGAATATTTGACATACTCTAGAAGCAAGAAGAATCGTATTGGGCTTCTTTAAAACTTGGTCCATATGAAATTTTGGGCCACATCTAACACAACATCCTAAGCATACTACTAATCAAATATCAATTAGAATGGTTTATTCAACGTTCGGATGCATGCTAATCAACCGAGGGCAATGAAGTTAGTTGATCGATGTTTAGGATTTAACCGTTTTTAACTCATCTAAACATTGGTTTGTTTTTTTTTTTTTTTTTTTTTTTTTTTTTTTTTTTTTTTTTTTGAGGAAGCTAAACATTAGCTCTGTCACAACTGAAATTTTTAGGTGCAGCGGTTGTACCTTGCTTGGTATAGCCAAAAAACGCAAAAAAAAACATGCAACTATTTTGTAAAGAACATATAGTTGTTTTGTAACGAACATCCAATTTTATATATTTTTTTCATATTTAAAGAACATCTGTAATATTAATAAAGAACATGATAATATTATGTAATAAACTTTATCTATATATAACCACCCTAATCTGAAGACAAAATTTAATAAACATTTCACATTAAGCAATGATCATTATGTTGCAAATAAAGTACATTACACTGACTGATCAATGAACATAAGCATACGTTCTTTTTATTTATTTTTTTGGTGCAAATGTGTTTTTTTCACACTAGGTATATGTTTATTACATTTTGATAGTATGTTATTTTTACTTTAGGTATATGTTCATTACATTTTAATAGTATATTCTTTTCAATATAACTATATGTTCATTACTTTTATATATCATGTTCTTTCCTACAAAATGACTGTACGTTGCACCGTACAGGCGCCTGTAGGAACCAACTATTGTGTCACAACAAGTTAAGAAGCATTGAATTTTATTTTACTTTTTTATTAATAATCCTAATAACTTTACGCTACTAACCAAAGCAAGTGATAATCTCTATAATAAAGTAACATAGTAATGTCACATTAAGACTGGCGAATACAAACATTAAAATTGGACTAAAATTGAGTCTAAAAGCACTAAATATTACAATGACACAAACAACACGGGACACTTTATTTTTTAATTGGCTCCTAATTAAGTCTTTTTACTATTCAGAATCTACTCTCATGATCAATCAATCAACCATGTCAAAAAGGTGAAATGAGACTCTCAGAATAGCCAAAGACGGCCCCTGAAAAATAGCGAAACAAGCTTCCTCGATCAACTGATTCCCAAACAACGGTACCTTCACTGAATGGTAGATCTTCCTCTTCATCTTCCTCTTCCTCCTCCTCCTCCTCCTCCTCCTCTTCGTCCTCTTCATCCTCTTGTTGCTCTTGGTCTTGGTCTTGGTCTTGGTCTTGTTCTTGTTCTTGTTCTTGTTCCGATGATGATACCTTGCTAAATTCATGTAGCATAAGCTGTTGAGATTGATGTGATATCTTGTTTACCAAGAACTTTCCTGTATCAAATAAATAAACAAAATTCTTTCCCATATAGCTCATAGCTAAATCACTATCCCCCGAAATCGCCCACGACATCGCATCTCCCTTATCACGATGTTCCGTCAAACTGCGAACATGACAAAATTTCTTACCAACATTATCCTCAATAATGGCACAAGTTGTCAAGCGCCCTTGTGTTCTAAATAATCTTACATTTGCAAAATCACCAGCGAAGTTTATTGCTAATGGAATGATTACCATATCCTCTTCAACTAAATCCAATCCAATTATTTGGTTTCTCTCATTTTCTATGCGAGCAGGAAACCAATAAATAGTATCACCAACAAACGCCGGTGTTTCATTTAAATATTCTAACATCAGTTCACGATACCAATTTCTTTTAGGCCTTTGGGTCCAAAACCCAGCCTTCAAAGAATACACAAAAATAAATAACGTTTCCCTATAAAATATCAAACACCCTATCTTATAATCATCAATAGACGAAACATAACCAAACCCGGCACACCTCATTTCATAACTATCCCACTTACAAAGGACGGGACCATATGTATTGCGGACCTGGTTAGTTACAGGGTTCCACACGTACATGCGCATAATGTTTTCATCATACAAGCACAATAGCCCATTACAAGAACCCACCACACAAGTAGATTGAGGATTAAATTTAAACGCAGGATATTTATTCCTCAATTCAACAAACTCATTCAGATTGTAGTTTTCATCAAGGGATAAATAGTACTTATCTTCGTTGACAGTGTCACGATCATCCTGGACAATGAGAGTCCGATCGTTCGAGGGGTACCACAATTTGAAGTGGTCTTTTGTGAATTTAGTACTCGATATCATGGAAAACCATCCTTTTGAAACAGATTTGAGGCGAATTAAAGGTTTCACCTCAAGTCTTATTAGGATGTTTTCCTGGATGAGATGATCCGGAAGAGTTCTGTGTGTGGATTCGAATACCAATTTCTTCGGCGATGAGGTGTTCGTCATCTTTCAACGTTGGATCAAAAACTGGCCTACAAAATGAAAACACAACAAGAAAAAAAAATAATTAAAAAAAAGTTTGAATTTTAAAATTGGGGAATTAGAATTGATTATGTTTAAATTGAATTAGTGATGAATTTGCGATTAATTTAATACCTGAAGAGTAATGGCGCAGATTAAGTGGGTTGATCGGATGAGAAATGAGAATGCTGAATGTCAGGTTTGAATGTAAGAGTGAGGGTGGCGGCTTGTAATGGAAGTGTCAGTGAATAAAGAAAGGGAAAGACTATTTATATGGTTGGTCAAGTCAACCCTAGTTTTTGATGATGTTTTTTGGATTAGGGTAAAATTATGTCAAGTTTTGTAGAGTTGCACTATCTAGCATTATTGACAAAACAATTGGATACTAAGTAAAATAAAGTCTAAATATTGTGTTTCCTTAACAAATTAAGTAAAAAGGTATAAATAATGTGAAGTGTGATAGTTGTGAATAATTAAAGTTATAATAAAACCGCTTATTGTGAAATTTAATTGGATATTGCTCTCGATGGTGTCAGGATGTAAATAATTTTAATACTGTCATAAAATTTGTGATTGTATTGCTTTTTTATGCTTATTTTGATAAAATTGCTTACTATAATGTAAGGAAACTGACGTTCTAAAATGATTCAAATTATAAATCTCTGTTGTGTAAGCTAATAATGGGAGACTGTTGTGTTCTCCTGAAATAACCTTAGTACCTCGGCCGTGGCTTAAACTACAATAGCAAAAAAATGGCTAAAATAAAACTAATACGTCATCTTCTATTATAATTAAATAAATTTTGAAAAAAGATATTGCCATTAATTCCCAAACAAAAAATTTAACAAATCAATCCATAATTCATCAAATATATATAAAAACTTTACTTGCTCTCATTAATAAACTCCGAGGCTTCTCCTCGCTTTACATTATCCGTATCCATCGTACCCATTTATTTCCATTCCCTAGTCTTCAAAGAAAACATTAGAATTAATGTCACTCTTTATAATTTCGTAATTAAATGTAAGAATAATGTGTAGATTGTATTTTAAAATTTACAACTTGTTAAAAGTGTGGGTTGTGAAAATATATAAATTCATCCGATCTTAATATTACATTGACACAAATTATGTTTAAATTGAGTCGCAAAATTAGGTACCAAATTTGCTTTTATAAAATGATGATAAAAATTTCGCAAAATGAATAAATTAAAAAAAGCAAATCATGCAGTGAACGGAATTGCATATTGCGAATATAAGTGGATATTCCTCTCGATAGCATCAAAAGTTGCTAATTTTTGGTAATAGTTATAAAATTCATGGCAGCTCGTAGTCACACCCACTACTAAAATAAGCTCATTTATCGATGGGAAATACATATGGCTAGTATAAGCCATCAGTAAAAAATAATTTACCTATGGCTTTTTCAAGCCATCGTTAATTTGAGAAATATCGATGGCCTAACCATCAGTATAATTTTTTCGATGGATTTCTTCCATCGATAAATTATTTCTTTTTTAAAAATAAGATGTTACTTTTTCACCGATGGCTAAAAGCTATCGGTAAAAACTAAATACCGATGACTTTTTTCCATCGGTATTTTTACCGATGGCCTGTAGCCATCGATATTTTATTAAAAGCCATCGGTATTTTATTAAATAATAAATAAATAAATAAATATTTAGGGTTTTTTTTAGAAAAATTTGTTATTATTAATCCCAACTTTGAGTCATGAATTTACTTTCATTAATCAAAACTATTGATTATTCCTGAATAATCCCAACTTTAGGAGGCATTTTCTTCTATCAGGTCATGGCCGATCAACAATAGTCAATGACCTAATATAACAGGTTACTTGACACGTGTCAATCCCTAATTGATCTAAAGAATTAAAAAAAATTATTAACAGTTTTTAAAATAAAAAATTAAAAATGAAAAAGAAAATCCACCATCAACGCTTCCCCCACCAAAAAACACCCTCACCCCTTGCCCTTCCCCCGTCAAATCGAAAACACCCCAGGCCAGCACCTTCTCGTCGTTCCCCCGCCCTTAGAAAACACCGGCAACCTTCCACCATCCCATAAAACTCCCCTCTTCTCTAATAGCATCCCTTGATTCCAGCCACCCCATCCCTTATTCTGAATCATCTCCATCATCTTCTAACGAGACTCCATTGAATCGCTTTCACCCGAATTTCTCTCTCCTCGCCATATTCCTCCGCCATTTGACGATAAATCAATTCAATTTTTGACATAATTTTACAAATTGGTGCAACTGCAAATCCTAGGGATTTTGCGAAATTTGGGATTGAAAAATTGAATTCAAGTGGAAGAAGGGAGGAGGTGGTCGGAATCGAGGGTTATAGGAGTTTTACTAGATGGGGGAGGACTGTCGGCTTGGATTGCCGACGTTTCTGGTGGGGCGAATATGATATGGTGTTTTTGGCGAAAGGGGGTGGGTCTCCTTGCGAGTGGTTTTGGGGGAAGGAAATGAGGCCGTAGTTGGTTTCGGGGGAAGAGAGTGAGGTTGCTGGTGGTTTCGAGGGAATCCGGTGGTTTTCAGTGGGGTTGAGGAGGGAAATGGTAGTTTCCAGTGGGGCTAGGGAAGGAGGAGGAGGAGGAGGGGCTGTGGTGGGATGGAGGTGATCAGGTGGTTGTGTTTTTTTTTTTTTGGTCTTTTTTATACTAATAAAGTTGTGACACATGGCATTTAAGAAAAAAAAGTAACCTTTTCATCATGTCAACGGTCATTTGACCTGATGAAAGATAATGCCCCCAAAATTTATTTATACTTTAAAAAAATAAATTATATAATAATTATTATGTTTAGGGATCTCTTTTATTTCGTCCTCATCAGCTAGAGAAGAGAATTTTGAGGGAAAGTTTGATTTATTTCCTTCGATAATACGGAGTAACCAGAAAATCGTCTCCTCGCTGTTGGTTTCTCTCTCCTTCGATCCAAGGTTCAACTATACCACGTTCTTCAATCACCTCTCACTGGTTTTTCTTTCCTTTGTTGATTTCCTCTCTCTTTCGGGTTTCTCTATTAAAGTGGCTTATGAGCTTTCCTTGAAGACGAATCATACTTGCCTTTTGATTTCCCTATTGTATGTTTTTTTCACTATCTCTTTATATTATTGATTAAATTGTGATTTCTGATTAACAAGATCTGTCAGAATCTAGGGTTGGTTTTTTCGAATCGAATTCATCATCAAACAATTGATTTTTCATAATTGTTCGGGATGGATTTTTCAAACTGGGTAAGTTATTGTAAACAAATAATAATAATTTTACGCGACTAACTAAAGCAAGAGATAATCTTTATTTTAAGGTAACATAGTAATGTCATATTAAAATTGGCAAATAGAAACAATAAAATTGGACTAAAATTGAGCCTAAAATCAAAACACTAAATATTACAATGACACAAAATAAACAGCACCGTACACTGATTAATTATTAATTAGTTGGCTCCTAATTAAGTCCTTTTTACTATTGAGAATCTACTCTTCTGATCAGTTAATCAGCCATGTCCAAAAGGTGAAACAAGACTCTCAGAATAGGCAAAGGCGACCCCTGAAAAATAACGAAACAAGCTTCCTGGATCAACTGATTCCCAAACAACGATACCTTCATCGAGATCAGGTTCTTCCTCTTCCTCTTCCTCTTCCTCTTCTTCTTCAGCTTCATCTTCCTCTTCTGCTACATCTTCCTCTTCTCCTTCCTCTTCCTCTTGTTCCGATGATGGTACCTTGCTAAGTTCATGTAGCACAAGCTGTTGAGATTGATCTGATATCTTGTTTACCAAACACTTCCCTGTATCAAATAAATAAACAAAATTGTTTCCTATGTAGTTAAGATCTAACTCATCATCATTTTCCCACGCAATTGACCACTTCATCGCATCTCCCATGTCACGATATTCAGTCATACGGCGAACATGACAATGATTCGTACCATTATCACCGTGAATCAAACAAAATGTCAAGCACCCTTGCATCTGAAATAATCTTACAGTCGCAAATTCGCCAGGAAAACGAATTGATAATGGGATGATTACCAAATCCTCTTCAACTAAATCCAATCCAATTATGTAGTGTCTCTCATCTTCTATACGATTAGGGAACCAATAAAGAGTATCACAAACAAACGCCGAGGTTTCATGTAGATATTCAAACAACAGTTCATAATACCATTTTGTCTTAGGCTTTTGGATCCATAACCCATTCTTCAAAGAATACACAAAAATAACCAATGTTTCGTTGTGAAATATCAAACACCCTATCTTATAATCATCAATAGAGGAAACATAACCAAACCCGGTACACCTCATTTCAAAATCATCCCAGTTACTAAGGACAGGACCATAAGTATCGCGAACCTGGTTAGTCGCGGGGTTCCACACATACATGCGCATAATGTTTTCGTTATACATGCACAATAGCCCATTACAAGAACCCACCACACAAGTATTAAATTTAAACGCAGGATATTTATTCCTTAATTCAACAAACTCATTCACATTGTAGTTTTCATCAAAGGATAAATAATACTTATCTTCGCCGACATTATCACGATCATCCTGGACAATGAGAGATCGATCGTTCGAGGGATACCACAATTTTAAGTGCTTTTTTGTGAATCTAGTACCCGATATCATGGAAAACCATCCTTTAGAAACAGATTTGAGGCGAATTAAAGGTTTCACCTCAAGTCTGATTAGGATGTTTTCCTCGATGATATGATCCGGAAGAGGTGTGTGTGTGGATTCGTATTCCAATTTATTCAGCGATGAGGTGTTCGTCATCTTTCAATGTTGGATCAAAAACTGGCCTACAAAATTAAAACACCCGAAAAAAAAAAAACAAATTAGGTTTGAATTATAAAATGGGGATTTAGAATTGATTGAATTTTAGATGAAATTAGTAGATAATTTGCGATTAGATTTGTACCTGAAGAACAGTAGCGCAGATTAATTGGGTTTATC